TTAATGCTTAAAAATTTTCATGGAAACTTACACAATTTACATGTAAAGAAGAACATATATGAGCAAACTGAAAGTTCACGTGAAATATTTCACGTTTTGAGAATTCACCTTTCACGGTTAACGTACGTCTCATTAAATTTACTCATATTATATTATTATATTACTCTGATAACAAAATGTCAGCAATATGCCGACAAATTGCTGGCAAAATCAATCATAAGATTGCAGCAAATTTGCAGCATGTATACTACCATTATGCTGGCATTATATCGGTAAAGCATGCCAAAATTATTTGCGGGCAGAGTGTTGCAAAAACCGAACAAGACGTGTCGAGCAACGTGTGACGACAAATTTGCAGCAAACAGCGAGCAAGACGTGCCGAGCAAGGCGTGATGGCAAATTTACGGCAAAAATCGAACAAGATGTGCCGGCTATGAACAGGCCAAATTCTACCCGAGTAGAATTTGCACCTTATGAGAATCTAGTCATTATATAATAAAGTTGTATCCAATAGACACATACACATAGTTAGCTAGTGTAACTAGACAGTGATGAACCAATAATGTAACGCTTTTGCGAATAGCTATATGCAATATATTAACTAATAATAAGATCAAAGAAACAACATAATTATGGTAAAAAACCAAACTAGTTGCTAGGCAATATCACTTTTCCTAATGAGGACATAAGTTACCTAATAGTTAGACAAAAATATAACTAGTGATGTAGTTTATTTTCTGCATATCTCATCATCAGTAGATAGACTATCCTAGTTAAAATTTTTAGTTCTATGAAATGCTATTTGTGTCTTTTAGAGATGACACCAGTGGCTTTTATTATTGAACTCTTCCTAATCATGTAGAACGTAAGTATCTCAGTGTATATTCTCTTGGAAAAAATTCCTTACTCACATTAGATTTGAACTCGAGATCTTTGGTTCTTCAAGTCTGTCGTCCTATATGTTACTCCACTTCAACTTCACTAATAAACGTGTTTCGTATGGCCCTCATATGTTGCATGAGATTTGGCACGACTTGCTCGGCTTTTGTGATCAGTTCGCCGTCATATGTTGCTCGGCACGTCTTGTTCGATTTTTGCCGCAAATTTACCGTCACGCGTTGCTCGGCACATCTTGTTCGCTATTTGCTGCAAATTTGTTATCACATATTGCTCGGCACGATTTGCTCAGTTTATGCTATCAATATGCCGTCATACTACTAATGATAGCTTGTCCGGTTTTTGTCAGCAGTTTGCTATCACACTTGCTAACAGGTCGTGTCGCAATATTGCACACATTTTGCCGACATTATTTGATATAGCAAATCGTGCTGCAATTTTGTCGTTATTCTGTTGATAAAACTTGCAGCACGCTTTGCCGAAATTTGCTTTTGGCACGTTTGGCTATCAGGGTTATATTCCCAATAAGCAAATTGAGCGCAAATTGCGCGCAGATTGGCAGCAAATTTGATCAAAAACCCACAGCAAAACCATAGCCATCTGTATCTACATTAGGCTACGGTTTTGGCGACAGATTTTGCTGTTGGGCAATTGGTGCCAAATTTGCAGCAAAAACCACGCAAAGCCTGCAGCGCAGCAAGATCTGCGCGGTTTCTGCCGCCAATTTGCCGTCAAATCGCTACAAGCTCTGCGCGGTTTTTGCTGCAAATCTGCAGCAATTTTCCGACAACAAGCTCTGCCGCATTGGCGGCAATTTGGCAGCAAGATTTGATATAACAGATCCTGCATCAAATTTGTTATCTATTTGCCATCAAAAGTTGATAGCAACCTCTGCTCGAAATATGGTACTAAGAATCATTGATAATTACTTATTTTCAGTATTAAAAATACTGGATAATAAGTAATTATCAATGATTTTTAGTATGATATTTCTATAAAGGTGAGTTATAACTATAAATTTAAGTTGTATAATGCTTATTAATGTGTTATATATTACATTGTGTATACTGTAATTACATTTTAATTTTAATAATCTATATTACATAAATATTGCTTTCCACATTTTCATTGTTCACTTTTCATGTGAAATAATTTACAGTAAAAAGATTAAAAATGAAAATGAAGTTCACGTGAAAGATTCATGATCGCTACCCAGATAGCTAAACCTGCGCAAACAGATTTCAAGTAGAGCTTGCTATTAACTTTTGATGGCAAATAGATAACAAATTTGGTGCAGGATCTGTTATATCAAATCTTGCTGCCAAATTGTCGCCAGATATGCGGCAGAGTTTGTTGTCGGATAATTGCTGCAGATTTGCAGCAAAAATCGTGCAGAGTTTGTAGCGATTTAATGGCAGATGGCGGCAGAAACCGCGCAGACCTTGCTGCGTTGCAAGCTTTGCGCGGTTTTTGCTGCAAATTTGGCACCAATTGCCCGACAGCAAGATCTGTCGCCAAAACCGTAGCCTAATGTAGACACAGATGGCTATGATTTTGCTGTGGGTTTTTGATCAAATTTGCTGCTAATCTGCGCGCAGTCTGCGCTCAATTTGCTTATTGGCCAATTATAGTCGATTATTGTAATAATCACGCATATTTTAGACCAAGCCTTACACCTATTGTAGATAGCCTTTTTTTTTTTTTAATTAAATCTGAAAGTCTCTGCTACGAGCTGCCACCGTACACGTCGAGTAATCGAGGTAGTTGCTCTCTTCTTTTTAGCGGGGTCTACAATAGAAGTTGTAAGTCGTAGAAATTGACCAATCGCGATCGAATATGAGAAGAATAATCGATCGCAAATAGTCAATTTCTAAGACTTACGACTCTACGATTTCTATGCACGATTTCCCGGTTTTAGCTGCACTGCATTTTAAAACTTGAAAAAGTAGAGACTTCCCCAATAGCACAGATGTTCAGAAGACATCCAGAGTACGTTCTGGCGACGTTTCTACGTCCTCAGGACATCTCTGGGACGTCCCCAGGAGATTTTGTGCTGTATGGATTCAAACTACTTCAGATATATCAAATTATCAAATATATTAAATTATTGATCAGATATATCAGATATATCAAATTCATAACATTATTGTTGTTTATAGACAAAATACATTGAGTTAAGTGTCAAGTGAGAAAAATAATGATTATTCAAATTCAACCTTATATTTTGGTTAAAAAAGTTTTTACACTGATAATTAATTTTTCTTTTTTATTTAGCGAATCTGTATTTATGTTAATATAATATTACACACAATAATTAAATCTTATATTTAATAACATATATGAAAACTAGGGCACAATCTATAAAATATCTTTTGACTCATTTTCTTTTTTCTTTCAAAATTTCTTTTTTCAAAGTTATAGCTTGTTGAAGTTTGCTTGTAATACAGGAATAATTATTCAATTTTTGTATGTAGTATATTATTGAATACAAAATATATGCAATAATGTGTACGTCGCAGAGTTTCCTTCGTCATGGTATGTGCGCTTACACTAATCGGCACTTGTTATGACGTTACGCTGCGTTACAAAGTCTTACGTGGAACTGATGAGGAGCGCAGTGATAGTAACACAGTAACGTTATCAACGCTCAAACCAGATAGGAAAGTCGATCGTGAAGTTACCATTTCAAAATTATGGACTGTGAAGACTCACAATGGTTCCTTGGGTAATTTAATACATATCTTTTTTTCGCTACATTTTTTCACGATGTTAATGAAAAATATAAATAACATAAATGAAGTACACACAGTTGCGTGTTTTATACATTATTTTTCGCTTTGCACGAATACGATAATGCGTTGTAATTAATTTATACATGAACATACAAGTCGTGCAATAAAGTCGTCTAGTAATTCTTTGCAGATGTTCGCAATTCGGATACTACGCCGAAACCTTGGTCGGAAGCGTTGTTGTCCTTCAGTCTACTCGTGAATATATCCAAACTCTGCAGTCTGGATGTTGGCACGGATACTTTAGCGCCGATACATGGCCTGAGATTTTATTCGATGCTCTGGGTGATCTTGGCACATACGTGCTTGATAACCAACGAAATCTCAGGTATATATACATAACATAGAAGACAATCGGCTCATGATTTCATCGCGATATATGTTCTTTTAGAAAACAAGACGTTCCGGAACATGGTGGAGGAAGACTTTTTCTATCAGACCATCGGTAACAGTATATATTCTGTGGACACATTCTTCTTTATCAGGTATACGCAGGGCAAATTATTTTGAATTACTTAGTCAGTGTACTGGATGAAAGAGAATTATGGATTTGGAAATATCCTAAAAACAGAAATCACTCGTGATAAAAATATCAAAGAGAACGGCCAAATAACTCAATATTTTCTTTGTTAATTTAGTATATATTATAGAAAAAAAATATATAACAGTACAAATATAGATGATCAGTATAAAAATACAATGGATCTCCGTTTTAGTGGATGCTTGGTGACGTTTCTCTATTATCGCACGATTGCGAATAAAAGGATACGAGAGAAAAGGATGACGAAGGGCTGTCATGGTCAGGTCCTGCAGTTCTTTGGGATGATGTTCTATAGATACTTTCGCCTGACCCCGATTTACCTGCTGGTGATCGGTCTAGTCCAGGTGTTGATGAAATGGTATCACGATCATTCCATGATCGAATTACCTACGGCGCTGGATTACGAGGCCTGCGAGAAATTCTGGTGGCGGAATGCCCTGTACATAAATACTTATTTCAGTACAGTGGAACGAGTAAGCGCGACTCAGTATGATTTGAAACGTCAATTAATTTGTCTCAGCGATTACCTAAAAGATACATTTCGTATTGATTATTCATTATCTTTCATAATAAATGAGGAACAGTCTGTCGATACATTTATTACAATTGGAAGCGATATTCTTAGAAGCATCGCGATCCGAAATATCTCAAATATTCTAAATATCAAATATTTTTTAAATAAAAGTTAATCTTTGTTTTCCGAACGGGTAAACAAACGGGAATTTGAATTTAACTTAATCACAGTGGAATTCGCGAAAGTAAAAGATATAGATCACGGTTACTCACATTACGCCTTAATTTCTAATGAATACATCTTCAAAAATCGACTCGCTCGCTTTTCACAGTGCATTTCCTGGAGTTGGTACTTGGCGAATGACACGCAGTTTTACACCGTGGGCACGATCATCCTGATAATCGGGGCAAAGTAAGTTAGCCGGTCGGACATAAAGGTGGGCAGCAAAAATGCGAGCGTCGATTACCCAACCGATTTTTCTCCGCAGCTTTCTACCGGCGGCCGCACTCATCGTCGCTTTCTTTTTGATCGCCTCTTGGGTCACGACGGCGATAATTACTTTGCACACTGGACACGTACCAAGGTGAGCGTATGTTGCACACAGACCGTAACGCGCTCATGTGCATGCCACATCTATGTCTTTAAACCTGTATTATTACGCGCGTCCGAAGGACGCGTCAGATACGAGAGAAGCTGTATAAAACAAACGTATCTTCAGCATCCAGGAGCCGTTTGCACATTATGAGAGCCTTTACGACAAGCCGTGGGCGAGAATAGGACCGTATCTTATAGGAATGGTCACTGGATGGTATCTCTTCAAGATCAACTGCCAGGCAAATATAAAGAAAGTAAGTGAGTCTTGCGTAATCTCGCGCACTTTATGACAATTCACGACGTATTGAATTAGAACGCTGCAAATAATCCATTGTGTCCTTCTCAGACCCGTTTTAAGTGATGCAAAGGTATTGAATAACGTACCCGAGCAGCACAAAGCATTGAGCCAATGTTGAATCTACAGCGACTAACCGTTGGCCAACTAATATGTGCTGCTAGGGGTACGGATAATTTATTTAAACGACTAATATATCCGATGCAGGCGCATACGTAAGGCGTCACTTTGTTATTCGCGATACATAATCGACATAATCGCGTTGTGAGATGATTGATTCGTGGTCTTTGCGATTGTAGGTTGTCGTTGTGCTTGGTTGGTCTCTTTGCTTGATTATCATGACGAGTATAGTATATGGGTTGCACGAAACTACCTTTGGACCGGCATTGTCCGTGTTATACACAACGCTGTCGAATTCCGCCTGGGCGATATGCTTAGCATGGATCTTGATCGCCTGCCTTACCGGTCACGGTGGTGAGTGTTACGTTTGAATGCACAAAAGTTTTGTACTTATTAGTTCAAATACGCAAGTAAGTGGTCCGTGTCACGGGTCGCGCAAATGCAAAAATGTATTACAAAAGTCGGGACTTTCTCAGGTGTGGTGAATTGTATACTCTCCTGGAAGTATGTGTATCCAATCTCCAGATTGACGTATTGCGCCTACCTGGTGCATCCCATGCTCATAAGAATTATAATACTACAGGGTGAACGTTCGTGGCATCTCTCACGCAGTTTCTTGGTATTCCTTCGCATACTTTTTCGTTTTTTATTTATAAATATATAACTCGGAAACTTGTTTAGCTTGGATGTGCCAACAGTCAATTATTCATTATCGATTTGTACACGAGCATTGCCTGTGGATACCGCTGGACTCCGACTCGCACCAGCCGTATTGATAGATGCATTTTTTTTAATTCCCTCAGAATATTCCGAGCAATATCTTCGCGCGTTTATTTAAAAAGATAGACAGTGTTAGATATATTCTGTTAATAATTATACTCTTCCGCACACCTTGAAGTAAATTCTGCACAAAAGAAAAGTCGAATTTAAGTAAGTTTAAGTTAAATAAAATATTCACTCAAGGAGAAGAGAAAGAGTCGTTAAACTAAAAAGTCGTAAAACTAAATTCGATAGAAATTAAAATATGAGTAGCGATTTACATTTGGAGAGTATAGCTCATATCGGTTGTATTTTAGGCGACGCTATATTTTGGAAATGTGATGATGTCATACGCCGTTTCACTGTTCCTCAGTCTGTTATTTGAGGCACCGGTGGTATCCCTGTTGAGAATACTTCATCCTTTGAGAGAGTGGAAGCAACTGTAATTCAATTTTTGCTCCTCATTACCGATATAAAGAGAAATAAGAAGTCAAGGGTTACGGATATGCTGCAAAAATTATATTCCATTTTTTTATATTGACAAAATATATGTGTATATATATATATATATATATATATATATATATCTACTTGTATTTTTTTATATGTCACAACTCTAAGTAACCAATCTACACCGCTAAACAGAAATATTATAAATAATCGTAAATTGTCTTTTCCTTCTCGACGATTCCCGTTTCTGTGCAAAAATAACGGTATAACGAAGAGAATGAATATAAAATGTCATCTTTATCTTAAGTAAAACCTATCCCTTTTGAAAAGAAAGTTCCGAGAGAGAGAAACATATTGTTGTACCTGCTCTTTGGGACATTCGATATTTATCGTTATTCCCGATACTGATGCCTGAGGAGAACGGGCGTTCCTTGAGTTTATGTTTACGGAGTATTGACAACGAGTTGTTTATGCGGAGTTGACGACGAGTCGTGGTCGCGAACGGATGTGCGATGGTTACATATTTAGTTTGTTAAATCGAGAAGAATTACTGTAAATAGTAAAGCTTGTTCTTTTGAAAGCGAGTTTATTCATTTCTCCCGTACACGAGCGTGAGTGCAACAATATATTATCCGTTGATACAAAGGGTATAATATTGATCATAATATTGATCATAAATACAGATTCGCTAAATAAAAAAGAAAAATTAATTATCAGTGTAAAAACTTTTTTAACCAAAATATAAGGTTGAATTTGAATAATCATTATTTTTCTCACTTGACACTTAACTCAATGTATTTTGTCTATAAACAACAATAATGTTATGAATTTGATGAAGTGAAACTTATGTAAATTATAATTAAATTTATTATATATATATATATATATATATATATATATATATATATATATCTCAGTGATATAATTTCTCACCTAACCGCACGATTTTTCCTACAATTCTATCACAGCTTACGTTGCGTGCGAATTGTAATGTCTTTAGTATTCTACACATAAGATGTAATACCAATTTCCGTGCTCTTTTATATATATATATATATATATATATATATATATATATATATACATATATATATAGGAATACGGAAACTGGTATTACATCTTATGTGTAGAATACTAAAAACATTACAAGTCGCACGCAATGTAAGCTGTGATAGAATTGTAGAAAAAATTGTGCGGTTAGGTGAGAAATTATATCACTGAGATATAGCTTATATAAGGATTATATATTAATAGAACAACATTTCGATATATACACAATCTCGCGCTACTTATTGCGGAGGCGATACCGAGTTCTATTCATTCAGTATTTATGAGGACTCTGTTAACAATTATTTCTTCGTGACGCAGCATCCTCTACTACGTTTTTTCCGTCGCTTTTACGAGGCCTCCGCGGCATTGCGAGGAACGACGAGCGTGCGCGAATCATCGGCGTAAGATTCTCGTAAGAGAAGAAAAACGTTTCAGCATGACCGAACAACCAATGATAGTTCTGTCAAAAGATTGGCATAGAGGAGATGGAGACCTCCTCTAATAGTATGAAATTTTACAGTGAAACTTCTGAACTCCGTCGTTAATCTGGCACGAACTCACGCGAAACGATGTTGAAAGTTTTGCAATTCATTATCCTAAACGGCACAGCTCGCACCGCATCCTGTTGCAGGTAGTTCGGCGCGCGCGCGTGATTTCGACCGATTCGTGTACTTTCATTATAAATCAACAAGAAGCGCGCACGGCAGATAAGTCGTTTCGGTATAATTGGCAAACACCGCAGCGCGGTGAATTGTCGAAGCGACGCGAACAAGCAATTATTTTTCGGCCAAGAATAATGCCACTAAGCAGAATATTACGTCATGATGTCGGCTCAACTTATTCATATAACGGAGTGTTTTCGCTTCTCCGCTGTTATGTGCGATCGGCCGCTCGCACGCAGGCGTTTAACCGAAGCAGCGCCTTTTGTATCTGTCAAGTTTTTCTCTCAAGCGGCATGCAATATAGATACTCGAACGCGTTCCTTGGGGCGAAGTAAGAAAAGCCATTTCTCCTACATAAGACCGGAATTACAGTTGTGCAATGCACTTACGTTCGAGCGCGACGGCGATGACGTTCAGTTTTACATACACGCGGAATCGTCTGATATCGGAATTTTGTATTCCTGCAAAATTAATCACTTTCAATCGCGAGAGCTTCATATGAGTTCGCTGTTTACAGTAATCTTTTTTTTTTTTAAATTCGACGGGTGAAACGTAAGACATACCGCTTCTTTCCGCCTCTACCTAGAATAGAATTCGAGCCGAGTCCTTCAGAATCCTAATAAATATTCTTCACTCCTGTATTGTAATCAACTTCTCACAAGAATGTGAGAATCTCCATGACAGAATCTTCGATGAATTTGGTCGTGGAGATTCGTCTGGCAGAAATTTGTACGCTCAGCGGCAAGTTCTCATCGTGCTTACTTCTGTGTGTGTATCTCTCTCCTTTTCTCGTGTAAAATTCCATTAGCCCGAGAGCGGGATTGTATGCGCAGATGATTGAACATGTTAAAAAAAAAATTAAAAAACTATAGAACAGGAAAAAGAGAATCTCGACTAGCATTAGACGTGCGCGAGTACACGTATCGACGGATTCACGTTACCGCCGTCGGTCTAAAGGTTTTCAGTTTTCACTCCATACGCCGCCCCACCATCCTTCATTATGGTACCGCGAGACATTTCAAAACCATCGGTCGGGCTACAACCCACTACGGTACGATACAGTTGATCCGTAGTCATCCAGCGGGAGAGAAGGATTCGACGGAAGTCGTTCTCGCGAACATTCTCTGATATTCTCTTCCTTACTCTCTCTTCCTCTTTTTCTCTTCCTCTCTCTTTCTCTCTTTTACTCTCATTCTCTCTTTCTCCTTCTTTCTTTTCCCAAGAGCAGATGCAACAATACGAACATCTTGAAGAGACTATGAGCTTGGAAGAGCCGCGTTATGAAGAAGATTTTTTGACGACTGTTTCGGAAATTCATACGCAAAGTTTCACGTAATAATCTCGTCGAGTCGGGAGAAACGAGATTCAATCGTTTGAGTGATAAAACTCTCAGATATCAAGTGCAAATGGGGATCACGCAACGCTTTTGACAATGTCACGGGATTCTTGACAGAGAATCGATACTCCATTCACTCGAGGATCACTCAAGAAATACCACCGATGACTGCAGCCGCGAAGATCGACAGCTAGCCAGAGGAAAAATCGCGATCAACCCCAATGATCCGTGAAGACTTTTAATGATGTGGATCCACGAGCAGTGACTAGTCTCCCTCGTTACTCGCTGGTATTTGGTGTGGGTGCAAGTAGTAAGTCTTTTCTGTGAACATTTATGAGATGAAGATGCGAGGCGCAATGCAATTGCCGTTCGTCGCTTTGCTTGTGCTCACCGCGACCCACGCCGCATCGACTGATATTCCGAAAGGTGCTTTGGAAGAGTCGATTCTTCGTGTCAGAAGTCTGCCGGCGACCAACAATCTCATCGAGAAGAATTGGACCAGTCTGTCGGACACGCTGGACATTTTCAGTGCGCGTAATTTAGTAAGAAATTGGGCCGAGGGTAAGCATGCCGTTGGTGCGCAATGTGGCAAGGACATCACGACGTACGTCGAGGCTCTGAAGAATCAGGAACTGTGGGCTCTAAAAAGTGAGTGGTCCTATAATAATTAAAATAAATTATTAGATTTGGTTTCCGGGTTTGAGCTGCGTAGATTCATCTTTGTTTGATTCCGATGTTTCGCGAACATTTTAGTCCGTTTCATCAGGGAGGAACGATCCGATGCTCTCGCTGATGAAGCGGATTGAAATGTTCGCGAAACGTCGGAATCAAACAAAGATGAATCCACGCGGCTCAAACCTGGAAACCAAATCTAATATACATGAACACCGCGAAAGCCTAAAAAATCAAATTAAATTATTATCGTAAATTGACATATTTTTATACTGAATTTCATTAAGCTTCGCTCTCGAGTGTTCCGAGTTGTACCAGTAAAGACATTTTCACAAAGCTTGCTGACACGAGTACGGCCATAGTTGGTCTTTTCTACTGCGGCACACGAGCGTCCAGGATCTTTGTGCGCGCAGCACGCGTAATGTGTCGCGCCCATAGACGACCAGTTTTATTATGTTACAATGTGTAACGTATTCATATATTATACTGTTACGTTCCACAAATTGCACAAGTTCTCGCTCAGTTTTTACTTTAGAAAATGTAAATCAGTAAATGAAAGGAAGGTCGTGACTGAACAAAGAATCGCTCCAATTAAATGCAGCTACGTAGAACATTTTTAAATCAGGCAACTTGTACGTTACTCTTACGAAATAGGAATAACTTAATGGGGAGGTTTACTGTGACTCATGTTATGACAACGGACCATTGTACTTATAATTTCATATAATCAATACGATCAACGTGCACCGATTGTGCAACCATAATGTTTCTCTTCTTGCGTAATAAGTATATCGCGGCCGGACTTGACTTTACATAATCAATTACGCTTGCCGTTGCGCATTGATATCTGATTTTTAAACCGTGATTAGATCACGGCTTCCCGCGCCTCCTTCTTCTTCTTCTTCTTCGTATCGAACAACTTCGTACGCGCCATATATGTAACTTCCTATGCACTTTCTCCCCGATGCAGCTTTCTACATTACATTGAGCCACATGTAATCGTGCTAAATCATTCAGTGAGATGCGAGTTACTTCCGAACGATCCTTTAACGATTACGTCTTTAACGATTGCTAAGGATGTTCCAAAACTGAGGATCCATTGGAACCACTCGTCGTGATTTCAACGACGAACTCTTCGACAAAATTAAAATTGACTTGTTAACCTTAAGAGACCAAATTGCCTTTTTAGACCAGAAAAGGCAATAAGATATTCGGGAATTTATTTAAAGAAAATTATTGAACAAATACATTTGAGTTTTAATAAAAAAATAAGAGATAAATAATAAAATAATTTATAAACGTAAATTATATAAATCAGAAAGGCACGTAAGAGCTCGGTGCACCCTCGGCAAATGGCAATAGGTGCTCTGTGTGACGTCATTTTTATACAAAAAATAAAAATAAATTGTTTAAATGCAAATATATTATATTCAATTAATAAATTCAATAAATAAAAAATTCATATAAACATATTTATTTTTGATAATTTTCTTGAAATAAATTCCCATTGAATGTTTGGTTTGAAAAAGTAACTTGCTCCCTTAATGATAATTTTGACTGCTTGGATGATTCCTGTATTAAAAAGTCATCACGACCTGTGCCGTGACTTTCCTCAAGCAAAGATCGTCTCCGAACCTGACGAGATATTTATCGTTAAAATTAGCATCGAAAATTCGAGGACAACTTCGCAGCTGCTTAGCAACTTAGCAACGGAAATCGCAGTCGCGTCGCGGAGAAGCAGTAGAAGCAGGTCGTTCGAGGACCAAACTAAACGCATATGTGTTACGAACAGCGTCTGCTTTCCGGTTCCCCATAGCTTGCCTACTTTCGTCGGCGGCAGGTTTCACTTTTAGCGACACAAAGACTCATTATCGGACGTTAAAGCCGAGACCTCGCGAGAAACCGTCACGTCCTTCTCTCGCCTTCGAGGCTTCACTTTCCTCGGTCAATACCACTTTTCACACGTCCGCTAAGTGAATGCATTGTGTAGCGTGCACGCGCGTTTCTCGATGAAACGTGCTCATCTCGTAAACAGGAACACTTCCAAATCGATTACTATCATTTTATCTCTTCTACTTGAGCTCAATCCGCTCGATAAGAGATATTTCGTGAACGATTTTTATCTGTCTTTTTCTCTGTATATCCAGCGCGAAGGACACATTTAGTTATGTATTTCTAAAGAGAGAGAGAGAGGGGGAGGAGGGAGAGGAGAGAGAGAGAGAGAGAGAGAGAGAGA